GTTCTAAATTCAACCATTTCCTAGACAATACACAAAATTAACACCAATTAACATTTGGAGGACTAGGCACAGTGGCTCACACCTATAATCCCAGCCCTCTGGGAGGCCAAGGCAAGAGGACTGTTTGAGCCCAGGGGTTCAAGACCAACCTCGGCAATACAGTGAGACCCTGTCTCCACAAAAAATTTCAAGAAAATATTAGCCAGGCATGCTAGGACACGCCTGTGGTCCCAGCTACTCAGGAGGCTGAGGAGGGAGGATTGCCGAAGCCCAGGAGGATGAGGCTGCAGTGAGGCATGAGTGGGCCACTGCACTGCAGCCTGGGCAACAGAGCAAGACTCTGTCTCTGGAAAAAACAACAACAAAAAAGATGACTTGGGGCAAGTAACTGCAAGAAAAATATAGAGCAGAAATTGTTTTCATCACTACCAATTCATCATAAAACTCAAATAAAACCTAAAGTTTGAAAGAACCTATATAAATATGTAACAGAAAGCAATAAATTATAAAGTATTACTCATTTAGACAAACCATAACAACTTGGATATAAAAAAATTCTCCAGATGTGTTTCATAATGCAGTAAAATAGTAAGTTTTTAATTAGTTAAAAGGTTTTTTTTTCAAATTATGACTTTCTAAAAGATACACTGTTAGTAACAACATTATAGTTTTCAGCAACAAAGGTTGTGGTAAATTATTTCCTGATACTGAAGGAAGATGTAAGGTAAGAATCAAAATTCTGGCGTGCATCCTGCTTTCAGATGCTTTGACAATACTATTGCACTGCTAGCTGTAAAGTACAGTAGTGCAATAAAGTCAGAGCATTCGTTAGCAGTAATAAGTAGGAAAGGAACACAAAAGCATCTTGCATCAGTTGAAGCTTCAGTGTGAAAAGAATTTAAAGTAGGGTTGCCATTTTGGACAGAAAAACATCCAAAACCAAAAAACATTTATATCAATGTTTTTTAAAAAAAGGATAAGACTTAAATATCAAAGTGATGTTGCTTATTGATGACTAATATACAAATTAACATTCAAACAGAAACATGCATAGATGTAGAAAGGAATTTTGTAAATATGCCCTAAGCCTTAATAGTAATTAGAATGGGTATTGTTAATACTTTAGGATTGTTATTAACAAAACCAGTTATAATTACTACTAAGACAAAGTTGTAAAAAATATTTTTGTTCTCTGCAGAGATGTTGGTTAGCTCCTTCTTTCAAGGCAATTTACTGATTAACCACCACATAAAACAAGCCCTTTGAATACAAGTATCAAAGAAAACAAATGAAAAGTAAAATAATAAATTTCTCAATCTCTACATACTCAATCTTATCACTCTGGAATCTAAACCACTATACAAAGAAAACACAAAAGCACTTACCATCTTACAGCTTTTTATCTTGAGTTTACTAAGGGCTATTATAACAACAGAAGGGAATCAATGTGCTGTAAATAGAACATTAACTCTATCTAACTGAATACTATCCAAGGGGATTTCAAAATTTCAGTTAACTCCTAAATCTTAAATATAGGCAGAAAGCATCTCCATTTCCTTCAAGCTTAGAAATATCAAAGAGAAAATAATGATAGGGGGAGGAGGGACTGAGATTTAAGTAACAAGTTTCCTTAGTTCCAAGCTAATTAACATTCTAACTTTTTTAATGGATAAGAACCCAATCAGAAGTCAGATGTAAACCCAGAAACAGAAATAGTATCATAGTATCACACTGCATTACCTTTTGTGTACAGTCACTAGTAGTACCACGAAAGAATGAAGCTAAACAAATCCCACCCTATCAATAAGTGAAGGGGAAAAAGTCAGAAAACAAAGATTGGCCTACAATAAGCTTATTCCCCCATTAGTAATGTTGATTGATGCAAAAATATTTTTTCATTATTTTCACCAACCTCACTTTAAACAGTCCAGTTCAACTACTTAGTCAGATTGAGCCTACTAAGGAAATGGATTTATACAAAGGAGAGCTGAAATTTAAGTGTCTTGGTGTCAAATCCTGGGCCACATAACTAAAATATTAGAATATTTAACGCTGGTAGTCAAGTTTCAGGTTTTAAAGACAATTGTTTAAAAGATAAGTGTTTAACTTTCTGAAATGGCAAGTTGTTACAAACAAGAAAAATATGAAAAAAATTAAAGGTATCAACAAAATTAGGATAAACACTTTCTTTTCAAATTAAATATTATGCATTCTCTTTTCACAAATTAAATAGTCAATGCTAGTTCCTTGACAAATCCTTTATTTAACTGATGTAAAACCAAAAATCAGAAGATAGCACAGGAAATCATTTACGCTTAAAACCTTATGAAATAAACTGGTCCACAAGTATAACATTTTTTTCTAGAAGTGCATGGTGAATCTGAAGATGAGATGCACTGTCTTTTATTATCTAGTCAATATAAAGCAGTAATAATTAAAGCCATGATAAAAATTCATTTCTAAACTCTAATAATTATGGAAACAAACTAATAACCTGAAAGGGAAAAAAAAAAAAGCTACCACTAATTTACTTGCAAGGATGTAAAAAAGGAAAAAACCCTCATTTCTTTGTTTCCTGTCTTCAAATATAATTTAAATACTACCTCATCATTCAAACAATATCTAAAAGTTTAAATGTCTGGCTACCTTATAATTTTCTAAAACCTACTTTTTCAAAATGTTTACTTCATCATTGTTCACTTAAAAGAGAATTTGTTCAATCTAAAGAAGTCCTGTGAGAACACTGACTCCATTGCAAAAGCCAGACAAGTTTAAAAATTAAAAACAGCTAACTTGAGAAGCAAACAACCTATTAAAAGCAGAATTAGCATCATTTAGCAGAAATGAATTATGAATTTAAGCAGAAATATCTGTATCAGTAGGGAAGAATCCAGAATGGGAGAAGGGCAAGATAGTCTTAACATTTAAGCCTGTTGACAGAATCAAATTACAATGCTTAACATTTTGTTTTTAAAAAGAATGATAAAAATAATAAAACTTAGAACTAAAATTTCATTATTACAGGTTTGAAAATCTGCAGGAAATTATTCCTTCTTCCCTCCCATTTCTCCCTACACTTCTCCAATCCCACACACACTGCACAAAGAAAATTTAAACACAAAATGCTAAAAGTAATTGAAAGCCTTCAAATTAAATTTGTATATGAGGCACTCCAATTCATTTGAACATCAGAAGAAAATAAGATATATCAAGGCCTGTTTTTCTGGAGTGGGAATGGGGGTGGGTGGTTTCTTCCAGGATCACCACCCATCCTTTCCAAGGAAGAAGTAAGAGGCCCAAGATTCAGCTTGGAGAAAGCAGGGCAGGCACAAATACCTAAGCAGTAATGCCAGGGAATGGCGTGGGAAGGAAGGACGGATTACAAACGAATAAATAAGTTTTTTACTTTTTTTAAACTTAATTTTTTTTTTTTTTTTTTTGAGACGGAGTCTCACTCTGTCGCCAGGCCAGAGTACACTGACGCGATCTCGAGAGGCTCAATGCAACCTCCGTCTCCCAGGTTGAAGCGATCCTCCTGCCTCAGCCTCCCGAGTAGCTGGGACTACAGGCGCGTGCCACCACACCCAGCTAATTTTTGTATTTTTAGTATAGACGGAGTTTCACCATGTTGGCCAGGAGAGTCTCGATCTCCTGACCTCATGATCCGCCCGCCTCGGCTTCCCAAAGTGCTGGGATTAGAGGCAAGAGCCACTGTGCCCGGCCAATCTTATTTAACAGACAAGCAAACAAACAAAAGACAGGAGCTCAGTGGCAGGCGCTTCCTCCAAAGTCCAGGTTTTTAAGGAAAGCAGCCCAATCTGGAAAAAAAAGAAAAAAGAAAAAAAAAAAAGATAATGCTGGACGAAAAGGGCTGAAGACATAACAAGGGAACTAAGAGGAAAAAAGCGCGGGCGATCAAGCTGGTAATCTAAGGCTGGGAGGGAGGGAATAAAGAGAACAAGTGAAGGACGGATCCTTAAAGAAAACTAGGACAGCCCCTCAGCTGGGCGCCCCCGAGCAGGCCAAATACGCCAGCAACAACGGGAGTACTTTGCGATTCTTCGCCCCCATTCTCTACTTTCACAGATGAATGAAAGTGCACAACTCAAGAGCAGGATGCCTTTCCTGTCTCAATCCCGCCCGCGCTCCAGGAGAGGAGCTCGCGGTTCCGATGCCTTCGCTCACACCTCTTCCCTCACCGAAGGTTTGCCACCCCCGGACCAAACAGAAATGGGTCTAGATGCTTCCTTGGCCGTTAGGAAGTTGTGCATACAAGTCTAGCATCCTTTCTCAGACTTTCTCGGCCCGCCTTTTAAAACGTGGGCGGGTCGGCCCTACAGGGATTTCTCCTCGCCCCCGTCGGTTTATTCCCCACCCCACCCCCCGTTCCCCTTTCTTGGAGTGTGAACCACCCCTCCCTTCTTGGGACGCTTAGGGACCGTTCCATTCACATCTTTTTTGGTACAAACACAGAATGGGGTCTGCACCGGGCGCAGTTCCGTAAGGGGTGTAAAGGTGAGGGCAAGGAACAAGGAATTCCAAAGGCCCCGCACCCTCAGCATCTCCCGCCATTTCCCTGACGAGTTTCCCGGATGTAACCCCTTCCCCGCGGCGGTTTAGACACCAGACGGTGGCGGCTCCCTTTGGTGCAGGAGGAGGGAACTCGACTCTGGTCCAGCCTCCGCCGCCCGGAGTTTCCGGCGACTCCAAATTGTGCCCCACCTTCGAGGCCGTGGGGGAAAAATAAACTACACAGTAGATCTCCTTCACTTTGCACTCACCATCAGTTCCAGCTTATCGACCTCCGCCTCCATGTTGAATAGTTGACATTCCTCAGACCGCGGCGGCGCTTAAGCCGCAAGCCGTACTAGCACGGAGGGCCTCCATTGGACAGCTGTCACTCAACGTCTCGCACCCATTGGTTCCTCCGTTCCACCGGCTCCCGCCCATTGGAGACTGGGTAACGCCCCTCTGCATGAGACACATTTTCCTGTTGGGCAAAGACACAAAACGCCGCAGGAGGATTGGCTGCTGTGCACATTTTTTTTTCCATTGGCTGCCCCCTGCTCTCTACTTTTAATTTTATAGTTAGGGCTCTGCAGAGAAGAGCTTGAGATTGGTGCAATCGGAAGAAGAGCCAACCAATCACACCAGAGCTTCCACCGACGGCAGACGGGACGTAACACACCTTCTTTCCCCTCCTGCTTTCCTTCCCCTTCTCTCCCGCCTTCCCCTTATTCATACCAGAAGCGCCTCAGCTCTGATTGGCTGGAGCTCTGTGCTATCTCAGCCAATCACAAGCCGGGCTGTGCTCCTACGCTATGTAAAGAGCGAATCGTGCAGAGACCGTGTCTACGATTGGTCTCTCCTTGACAAGGATTTAATTTTGAATTTTTCTTTATGGCGTGGGAGAGGCCACAGCCCGGACTCCATCGACTGCCCCGACTCTTAGACTAGTAAGTGCTGGAACGATTATGCCTTTGTTATCTGAGCTCGCGTCTTGAGTAGCTGGGCTTGTTGCTGCTTGTGTGTTTTTATGGTTTAAGGAGGGGGAGACCTTGGCTGGACACGAAGGGGAAATGGAAAGGGGAAGGGTAGGTTTGGGGCTGGGGAAGAAGTGCTCGGCCTGGCTTCATCTTAACCATACTTCTATTTAATTAACACTTCGCAAGATATGTTTTGGAGCAAAGCATATGCCTTCCTTTTGAATATTTCTTTATATATTTGCTGCTCAGTGTAAGTCCACAGATCAGCGGCATCCGCATCTCTTGGTTGCTTGTTACAAATGCAAATTATCGGGCTCCAGCCAAATTTACTAAATCAGAATATACATTTTAACAAGATTTCCCTCAGTGATTTCTATGCACATTAAAGTTTAAGTTGGTACATTTCTTGACTGGGAATATTACTATGTTACTTGATATTGTCTGGCATTCTGTTAGAGTGTCCATTTTAAATGCGTGTCCTGTTTACTGAGTGCCTAATGCTGTGCGGGATGAGACTTTAGGGAACTGCAGTCTCTTTGGAGAAACAAGACAGGAACAAAAAAAGCAATGCTAAAAAAAAAAACAGAAAACAAAACAAAACAAACAAAAACAGCATAAAACATAAAATTTTTAAAAAGCAAGTACCCAGAAATAGTGCTATGGGTGTTCAAGAAGAATCAGTTGAACTGGTAATGGAAATTAAGTAATTGAAGGCTATGTGTGGAGGAGCGCAAGAGACCTCCATAAAAATGTGTTTTAGGAAGATGGCAATGAAATGCAACAGCCACTTCCGTTGCTGCCACAGCTTTGAAAGTACCCCAGAACAAAGAACTTTTCTTTTTTTTTTTTCTTTTTTTTGTAACAAAGTCTCACTCTGTGGCCCAGGCTGGAGTGCAGTGGCGCAATCTCGGCCCACTGCAACCTCCACCTCCGAGGTCCAAGCGATTCTCCTGCCTCAGCCTCCTGAGTAGCTGGGACTACAGGCGCCCGCCACCTCGCCTGGCTAATTTTTGTGTTTTTAGTAGAGACGGGGTTTCACCCTGTTGGCCAGGATGATCTCGATTTCCTGACCTCGTGATCCACCCGCCTCGGCCTCCCAAAGTGCTGGCATTACAGGCGTGAGCCACCACGCCCGGCCACAAACAACTTTTCATATCATTGGGAGGAGTTGTAACAGAAACAGCAGCGCCAACTCCTGCAAAAGACTGTAATTCTTACTGTATTATTTACTGCATCTTCCTATTGGAAAATAGCTTTAGACCCATCTTTTAGCCATATGAAGATGTGGTATGATATGAAGAAATAAAAACCTCCCTAACCAAGAGAATTTGACAATATTAGAACATATTCCTTAACTAAAATAACACTTGCTAACTAACACTTAGCACGAATGCTTCTTTTCATTCTTTATTGAATGAAACATTATTTAGCTCCTGCTGTATTCAAGATGCTGGGAAAACAGTCCAGCAGGATGACAAACATACAAGCAAAAATTACAATGAAATGTAATACATTTTATAATAAAGGTGTGTATAAAGTGCTATAGAAGTGCAAAAGAGATGACATTTCAGCCAGTATAAATTCTGTAAGGTGGCTGGGCACCGGTGCCTCACACCTGTAATCCCAGCACTCTGGGAGGACAAAGCGGGCGGATCACTTGAGGTAAGGAGTTCAAGACCAGCCTGGCCAATATGGCAAAATCGCATGTCTACTAAAAATACAAAACTTAGCCAGGTGTGGTGGCACACCCCTGTAATCCCAGCTACTCAAGAGGCTGAGGCAGGATAATCGCTTGAACCCAGGAGGCGAAGGTGGCATTGACCCGAGATCAAGCTCCTGCACTCCAGCCCAGGTGACAGAGCAAGACTCTGTCCCCCCCAAAAAAAAAAAAAAAATCCAGAAGGACAAATGTTGGTATTGTTCAGGATTGTATGCCAGCACCTAGCATAGTACTTGGTGGATTATAAGCACTCAACTAGTATCTATAAGATAAAGTAACAGAATCTTGAAGGATAGGTATAAGTTGACTTGGAGGAGGATACTCCAAACAGAAGGAAAGGCTGATAGAAAGAAACAGAAAGTATTTGGTGTTTAGTATACCTGGAAGTACTAACCGCTAGTCATTAGAAGAGATGAAGGCTCTAATGGCAGAGGGCTATTACAGGTAAGTTGTGAAAAACTTTGAAAGGCGTGCTAAGGAATTTAATTTTGTGAGTAAAGGAACCTTCAAATACTTTTAAGCAAGGGAATATCTAGATCTCATTTTGTTTTAAAGTATCAGCTCTGGTAACAATGTGGAAAATGAACTGGCAAGGAGAAAGACTGAAGGCAGGAGAATCATTGAAGGAACACTCAGACAAACCCAAACTAAGACACATTCTCCAAGACGACTGACTTGGACTCTTCAAAATTATAAATATGAAGAAGCAAATACATAAATAAAAAAAGCTGGAGAATTGTTATGAATTAAAGGGGACTAAAGAGATACTAGATACTACAGCTAAAGAATAGGTGTTGTGGAACCAGGGTGGGAGAATCTATAAGGGATAATGAGACAACTGGGGTAATCCTAATATGGGCTGTTCATTAGATCATATCATAACAAGGTTAAATTTCCTGACTGTGATTGTGGTTTTGTCAGAAAATTTCCATGTTTATATTAGAAAACAAAAGCCAAAGTATCTAAGAGTAAAGTATCATGATGTCTGCAACTAAATCTATTCAATCAAAACCTTAAAAAATTTATATATGTATATATCTGTACATACATACAGAAAGAGTGTGTGTACAAAGACGGCAAATGACAATTGGTAAATCTAGGTGAATTTATATGAGTGCTTATTATACTATTGTAAATTTTTTATTTCCTGAAAGCTTGAAATTTTTCTAAGTAAAAACAGTAAAGGAAAATAGACAATAGTGAAAGACAAAAATGGTGAAGGCAATTGAAGTTAGAGGACAGAAAGGAGGGGGATGGTAAGGAGAAGAGACAGGGTAAATTAATCAGAGAAATATCTCTGATTCATACTCACACTGTCCCACACCCAGGTGTGGCGTGCACCCAGCGTAGTGGCATGATCTTGGCTTACTGCAACCTCCGCCTCCTAGGTTCAAGTGATTCTTCTGCCTCAGCCTCCGGAGTAGCTGGGATTATGGCACACTCCACCACGCCTGGCTAATTTTTGTATTTTCAGTAGAGTCAGGGTTTCACCCTGTTGGTCAGGCTGGTCTCAAACTCCTGACCTCAGATGATCCACCCACCTCAGTCTCCCAAAGTGCTGGGATTACAGGTGTGAGGCATTGCGCGCAGCCTCCCACACCCTCTTTTTTTTTTATAAGCCTCTACTCCAATAGGAGCTCCATTGTCTCTGCAGTCTTTTCACCTTCCTGGCCTTGTCTTTTCTATTTCTTTCTCTACCCACTCCTTATACATGGTGTTTCTTAAAGTTTGGTAGTCAGCTCACAGATCTTTTCACTCCACATATTTCTCTGGGTAATTTCACCCATTTCTAGTGTTATTTTCTCTAGCCATCTATACTCTTATGAGTGCAGTATTTCTCTAGTATCTTTCCCCTGAACTTCTGACTTTGAACATAGAACACAAGCAGTTAGATGTCTTTAGATACCCTACTGTCACTCCTATAATCAGGTCCTTATCCCCTACACAGTTGCAATAGGTTTGTAAGTGGACTTTTTGCCTTCAGTCATGGTCCGATAAATCCAACTTCCACAATGCTGCCAAACTGTTCTTTCTGAAGAGCAAATATGAGCATGACAGTTATCTGCTTAAAATCCATTATTGTTTTTGATGTCTTGGTCCTTATCCACCCTCCAGCTTCATCACTCATTGCTCCCTGACAAAACTTTATGTTACAGGATACACTTTAGTCACACTGAGTCTTGTCTGAATCCCCTGACATACCTTTCTGTGAAATGTTTCCATGTTATTCCCTCTGATGGAATGACTCCTTCCCAGGCCCACCTTAACCTAGCCCCTTCATCAAAGCTCAGCTTAGGCAAAACGTTTTCCAAAAACCTCAACCCTTATAGGAGAATTATGTACCCTTGCTTTATTTCTCCATTAATATCATACACATAGCCCATCATAACCCATACCATATTGTATACCTGTTTACTTTCTGCTTACCCATCTCTTCCCACTATAAACTCTTGGAGAGCAGGAATGTGTCTTATTCATCTTCATAGCAAGTTATCACTATATGTTGTTGAATTAAACTTCTGTATTTTAAAAACTCTGATATAGTAATCTCAAGCAGCAAAAAAAAAAAAAAAAAAAAAAAAAGAATCGAGGAATAATAATGATAACAATAAAACTTATTGCCTGCCAGGCACTGTAAATACTTTACATGATTTACTCATGTACTCCTCAAAACTCTGAAGCAAGTTCCTGTTAATATTATTATTTCACAGGGGAGGAAACTGACACAGAAAGACTAAGAATCTCTTGAAGGTCGTAAATAATAACTTACGACAGTATAGTACAGCCATGATTTGAACCTACGCAGTATAACTCCCTGGTCCTCATTCTTAACCCCTACAGTATAATTTCTCTTGTTTTTTGTTGGTTTGGTTTTGGTTTTGGTTTTGGTTTTGGTTTTGGTTTGGGGGGTTTTCTTAAGACTGAGCCTCATTCTAATTTTTATATTTTTAGTAGAAACAGGGTTTCACTGTGTTGGCCAGGCTGGTCTCGAACTCGACCTCAAGTGATCCGCCAGCCTCGGCCTCCCAAAGTGCTGGGATTACAGGCGTGAGCCACCGTGCCTGGCCTATAATATGTCCTTTATTATTGTTTGATTTGTTATCAAGAGCTCCAGATGTACCAGTTTTCTGGTTCCTTAGCCTAGAAATCTTTTCTTAATGAAAGAGGATGTAAGCAAAAATGAGAGTAATTTCTAGAGACCATAGAACTATTTAGGATATTTATGGTTTTTTTTCTTTTTTTTTTTTTT